GTGCTGTCCTTTAAAACCTGGCCATTAAATACATTGCTCAACTTTCATTTCTGATAGCTTCTCATGTTTAGTCATATATATATATTTTTTTTTTTTAATTCAATTTTTTAATTTTTCAGAAGGGAAGTAAAAACAAAGAACTGAGATGAAGTGGCTACACGTTTGTGTACACCCTGGGGATGTAGCCAATTTCAGAATTAACCAGTCACGTTCAAACACGTTAAATGGGAGTCAGCACACACCTGCCACAATTTTAAAATGTCTCTATTTACCCAGAGATGAAGTTCAAATGTTGTAGTTGGCTTTCCTGACATCTTTTTGCTTTCCAGCAGAAGCATGAATGTTTTATGCTAAGACTTACTGGTGTTTGGAACTGTTCCGAATTCTCTCCGCCTTGGCTGGGGCCCCAATTCCAACTAAAGAAAAAAAACAACCCAGCACCAAAGAATGATGCTGCCGTCACAATGTTTCATTGTAGATCTGGTGTTCTTTTGCTGAGGAGCCTCTTGGCAATCTCCCTGACCAGTTTCCTTCTCTTCTTTTCATCACTTTTGGAGACATTCTTTTAACTAATACAGTACCTTTGGATACTGTGCTTGTGCTTTAAGATGTGACTTCCAAAAAAAATCAGAACATCTGAACTTCATTTGGGGTTGATCAGAGGCACTAGAAATGGTAACAGGTAGTGCTGGGCGATATGGAAAAAATGTCATCTGTCATGATAAAGGTCAATTTCTATCAATATATTTACAGTTATTCTATTAAAAATATATAGCACACTACGACTGCTTTCCTCTTCTCACTTTATTTCGAAGTAACGTTAAATAGACTTGTATCAAATGAGAAATGCATCCAGTAGTGCTGCAGTATAAAACCATCAAATGTAAACAGAAGCAAAGTACCCTACATATTTTTGCACAAATGTAGATATCAATCGCCATCACCCCTTAATTTACAAAACAACAATTGTATTTCTCAAACAATTTGCACAAATAGCAAAATCATGAATCCCCTGCAAAAGCCAGTCTCTTTTCTCAAAATTGTTTATCTCTTAAAAGTAAATACCAGTGTCATTGAACATATCGGTGCCATCAGAATGGTAAGACTTTGTGTCGTTGTGCATAGATTGTTGAAATCAAATTGTTTAGTTATGTTGTCTATAATGGAATACTCTGGAGCCAAGATGGGCAACTGGCAGCCCGGGTGAAAAAGGTCCATACTCTAAGAGGCCTCTCAATGATTTTTTAAAAATGGGGGGCGAGGGGGATTATAAGAGTAAATACATATGTTTCCTCAACTACAATGGAGGGGTATTCAGTGGTCGACTGGTTACACATCCGTCTTACAGTACAGAGGTGCAGGGTTCGATTCCGACTCCGGCCTTCCTGTGCGGAGTTTGTACGTTCTCCCCATGTCTGCGTGGGTTTTCTCCGGGTACAGTACTCTGGTTTCCTCCCATATTCCAAAAACATGCATGGCAGGTTAATGGAACACTCTAAATCACAGGGGTCAAAAGTCAAGGCCCGGGGCCAGATCTGGCCCGCCACATCATTCTATGTGGCCCGCGGGAGCAAATCATGTGTGTCAACATTCATGATTCTTGCTGAAATCTAGACCGAAATGTCCAATTGTAGTCAGGAATAAATAACGTTGAGATTTTTCATCGGCCCTCCAAGGGACAAATAATGAGTTTTGACACCCTTGCTCTAAATTGTCCTTCGGTTTGAGTGTGAGTGCAGGTGGTTGTTTGTCTGTGTGTGCCTTGCAATTGGCTGGCGACCAGTTCAGGGTGTCCCCTGTCTATTGCCCGATGACGGCTGGAATCGGCTCCAGTACGCCTCCCGACCCTTTTGAAGACAAGCGGACCAGATAATGGATGGACGGCACGACTGTGGATTCCTGCATACTCACGTAGATTTTTCCCGCAATATTTTTTTTTTTTATATTTTACTTTGTTTTGTGGGGAGGTGGGGATTGTGGAAGGTTCCTGTTTCTCATAGAAAATGCTCATGGTCACCACTCAATCAAAGGTCAGCCACACCAAACTCCAACAACAATCAAAAACATGGTGTTTGGTTCAATTTGAGTATTCCATCCGTTTTCTACAGCAGTTCTCCTTTAGGTTTGCAAGTTAGTTGAACTGTATCCCGGCTGAGTTTAGGCGAGAGGTCACGGACACCTTGTACAGGTCGTCATTCAATCGCAGGGCACATATAGACAAACACCCATTCTTTGATTAATCTAACCTGCATGTTTTTTTGTTTTGTTTTGTTTTTTTAATGAAAAACCCATGCAAACATGGGGAAAAATCCAAACTGCAAGGGCCTGATCCAAGAGCCGGGGATACATCTTTTGCATTGAACTGTACCCAATGTGTATCTGTTAACAGTACTGATAGAGCACGTGGGGGAAAAAAACCAAGAATAACAACATAGTAGTGTTTTCACTGAAATCCGAGTATTTTCCTCTCGAGAGAAGAAATGACGTGTGTGGAAAATGACGGTAGCGATGTGGTGAAAGGGCGCTGGGCTAAGTTTGGTGTTACATGACACACAGCAAAAATATGGGACAACCGAGCCTCCAAACAACCCAGCACCAAAGAATGATGCTGCCGTCACAATGTTTCATTGTAGATCTGGTGTTCTTTTGCTGAGGAGCCTCTTGGCAATCTCCCTGACCAGTTTCCTTCTCTTCTTTTCATCACTTTTGGAGACATTCTTTTAACTAATACAGTACCTTTGGATACTGTGCTTGTGCTTTAAGATGTGACTTCCAAAAAAAATCAGAACATCTGAACTTCATTTGGGGTTGATCAGAGGCACTAGAAATGGTAACAGGTAGTGCTGGGCGATATGGAAAAAATGTCATCTGTCATGATAAAGGTCAATTTCTATCAATATATTTACAGTTATTCTATTAAAAATATATAGCACACTACGACTGCTTTCCTCTTCTCACTTTATTTCGAAGTAACGTTAAATAGACTTGTATCAAATGAGAAATGCATCCAGTAGTGCTGCAGTATAAAACCATCAAATGTAAACAGAAGCAAAGTACCCTACATATTTTTGCACAAATGTAGATATCAATCGCCATCACCCCTTAATTTACAAAACAACAATTGTATTTCTCAAACAATTTGCACAAATAGCAAAATCATGAATCCCCTGCAAAAGCCAGTCTCTTTTCTCAAAATTGTTTATCTCTTAAAAGTAAATACCAGTGTCACTGAACATATCGGTGCCATCAGAATGGTAAGACTTTGTGTCGTTGTGCATAGATTGTTGAAATCAAATTGTTTAGTTATGTTGTCTATAATGGAATACTCTGGAGCCAAGATGGGCAACTGGCAGCCCGGGTGAAAAAGGTCCATACTCTAAGAGGCCTCTCAATGATTTTTTAAAAATGGGGGGCGAGGGGGATTATAAGAGTAAATACATATGTTTCCTCAACTACAATGGAGGGGTATTCAGTGGTCGACTGGTTACACATCCGTCTTACAGTACAGAGGTGCAGGGTTCGATTCCGACTCCGGCCTTCCTGTGCGGAGTTTGTACGTTCTCCCCATGTCTGCGTGGGTTTTCTCCGGGTACAGTACTCTGGTTTCCTCCCATATTCCAAAAACATGCATGGCAGGTTAATGGAACACTCTAAATCACAGGGGTCAAAAGTCAAGGCCCGGGGCCAGATCTGGCCCGCCACATCATTCTATGTGGCCCGCGGGAGCAAATCATGTGTGTCAACATTCATGATTCTTGCTGAAATCTAGACCGAAATGTCCAATTGTAGTCAGGAATAAATAACGTTGAGATTTTTCATCGGCCCTCCAAGGGACAAATAATGAGTTTTGACACCCTTGCTCTAAATTGTCCTTCGGTTTGAGTGTGAGTGCAGGTGGTTGTTTGTCTGTGTGTGCCTTGCAATTGGCTGGCGACCAGTTCAGGGTGTCCCCTGTCTATTGCCCGATGACGGCTGGAATCGGCTCCAGTACGCCTCCCGACCCTTTTGAAGACAAGCGGACCAGATAATGGATGGACGGCACGACTGTGGATTCCTGCATACTCACGTAGATTTTTCCCGCAATATTTTTTTTTTTTATATTTTACTTTGTTTTGTGGGGAGGTGGGGATTGTGGAAGGTTCCTGTTTCTCATAGAAAATGCTCATGGTCACCACTCAATCAAAGGTCAGCCACACCAAACTCCAACAACAATCAAAAACATGGTGTTTGGTTCAATTTGAGTATTCCATCCGTTTTCTACAGCAGTTCTCCTTTAGGTTTGCAAGTTAGTTGAACTGTATCCCGGCTGAGTTTAGGCGAGAGGTCACGGACACCTTGTACAGGTCGTCATTCAATCGCAGGGCACATATAGACAAACACCCATTCTTTGATTAATCTAACCTGCATGTTTTTTTGTTTTGTTTTGTTTTTTTAATGAAAAACCCATGCAAACATGGGGAAAAATCCAAACTGCAAGGGCCTGATCCAAGAGCCGGGGATACATCTTTTGCATTGAACTGTACCCAATGTGTATCTGTTAACAGTACTGATAGAGCACGTGGGGGAAAAAAACCAAGAATAACAACATAGTAGTGTTTTCACTGAAATCCGAGTATTTTCCTCTCGAGAGAAGAAATGACGTGTGTGGAAAATGACGGTAGCGATGTGGTGAAAGGGCGCTGGGCTAAGTGTTGTGTTACATGACACACAGCAAAAAGATGGGACAACCGAGCCTCCAGTCAGCGCACAACCTACACCATGATGATTAGTGTTACGTATGCTGCCACCCGTTCAGATTGGTTAGACAGTGCTGCTTGACGTCACGTTCATTCTGGCCGTATTTCTGTAATGACTGTATCATGCGTGGACAAGGAGAACACATTTTCTCGAACGTGCTCAGAAAACCAGCCTTGCCCGGCTAATATGAGATTGGGGGGCGGGGATGGGGGCTCGAGTGCGTCAGGATTTTAGGGAACCACTTACAGTGATGAGTCGCGGCTCAGAATCTCATTCGACACAATTATTACTAGCTATGAATAACGCGGCTCTTTAGGAAACTTACACAGTATCAGAGAGTAGTAGCTTGTAAGCCACATCCTGTTAGAAATATGAGCAGGATTTTTTCAAACTGCGAACACAGCTCTTTACTAAACTTTATTGGTAGCAAAAACTGTATTTGTGAGTGGACAAAAAAGCTTAAGCAAACAAAAGCAAAGTGCTGTCGGACAGCTAGAGCCACACATCGTTGTTTCGATCATTTGTGGAACTTTTAGACTTTTCTCTCGTTAGCGCAATTCATCGGTCGTATTTCATGCAAACGATACCCATTTAAACGTGACGTCAGGGGGGATACGAATTCATTTAACAATCAAACGGCAACGTTTCCATGGTTTTGCGGATTGGGTTTGGACGCCCGCTTCTCGCGGTGTGATGGCAACCGTATTTACTCACCCAGCAGTGGGAGATGCGACCAGGCAGCAAAACGCCTCCCAAAAGTAGCTTGCTAGCCGGTTTGTGCTGCTTTCTTCACCGTTATATAAGTTGCAGTTGGACGCTGGTGTTGGACGCAAGACCGCAGTCCTGGGCGTTTTATCAACCCTATGCTGGAATTCAGTCGTTTCTTCGATGCAGTAAGAGTTTCAGTAAGCAAGTAACGGTAGGTTCTCTTTAACTGTTACGTCACTCCGACTGCTCAGCTCGATTTCGATTGGTTAACACTTCTCAGAGAACGTCACGAGTCTCGGCGGTGGACGGCCTCTGACTACGTCGTCATGACAATGAACGTAAACATCACAGATTTCTTTCGGTAGAGAAAATGCTGCATTCAGGGTTCCGAGGAAAGCGGAGAATTGAAGGTAAACAGTTTGTGCTGATGGTAGATGTATTGTATATTCTTCGAATACCCCACGTGAGTTCCAGCTAAGGCTATTTTCCTGCGACATTAAATAAAAGGATGGTGAAAATCTTAAGGATTGAAATGTTCGAATACCAGTTGTTACGAAAAAATATGGTAAAGTATAAATGCACATTGAATTAAAGGGGATAAAATGGACACTAAAACTGGAGGATACAACTTTTTTTTTCCATCCATCCCTCCATCAAGCCATATATCCATCCATCTATCATCTGAGCTGTTTATCCTAACAGTGGTTGCGGGCGTGCTGGAGCCTGTCATAGCTGTTTTCGGGCAGTTGGTGGGGTACACCCTGCACTGGTTTCCAGCCAATTGCACGGCACACATTGACAAACAACACGCACAATCATACTTAGGAACAATTTTGACCAGTGGGGTGTCAAACTCATTTTTGTCGCGGGCCACTTTGGGGGTTACGTCTTCCCTCGGTGGGCCGTTACACCAGTGAAACTAAATAAATGTTTTTATATTATTACTTGTACACAACAAATTGATAGATTACCAGTTTTGAAATGAGTCAAATCAACTATATTTTGTTCAATTATTGTTTGAGTGAGTGTTAATAGGGTAACAAAATTATCGTAAAAGCTCAAGGTTATTTATTACAGTTGAAAATGTGACATTTTGGTACAGATTTTTAGCAAGCATCATGGAAGTTGACACACATGATTTGCTTTCACGGGCCACATAAAATGATGTGGCGGGCCGGATCTGGCCCCCGGGCCTTGATTTTGACATCTGTGATTTAGACTAATCCAACAAAGGTGAAGGAAATGTGTCATTCAGGTCAGAAGATTTTATATAATTATGACTGAACATGCCTTTGGTTTAAAATGTAAAAAATGTCCAACCAAAAAGATGCAGTGCAGTTCCCTTTGACTCATTTTTCATGGATTGCAGTCCTTTAAACTTCGCTAATAGTGGACAGGAAGAATATAGGTACGGCTCTCTTGTATGTTCTTTTTGACTTTGCAAAACAGAATTATAAACATCTGCAACATAGATCCAGAGTAGTTGTTAAATGTGAACAACACTTGCCATAGTCATGGTGTAGTTCTAAAACACACTCTACTGTGGTTTGCAAACCATCCAATCTCTGTCCACGACAGCCTCTTGATTTATGAGTGCATTCATCTTTACCCTAAAACTACCTAGAAGGACCAGATCTCATCAGGCTCGCACATAGGCTTTCCTTGTACATGATTGCTACTCTACTATTGGTAGTATCCTTTAATAGCAGTTGTGAAGTGTATTGTACATGCTCACTTGTTTTTTTTTTTTTTTTTTAATAATTTCAGACAAGGCTCCTGGTGCTGTTAATATATTTCATTTACTATAATGAATTGGAGCAAAACAGTAATTTTCATGTGATGACATCATGGTCACATTCCTAAATGTGGTAGTACAACTGGTAATTTCCATTAGACCGCTGTCAATCACATTTATCCCCTCATACATACTGAAGAAGAAGAAACCGCAGCAAATGCTAAATAACTTCAACTTTACTTAGCAGTGAACTTTTAATGTTACAGATAGTCATTTTCATTCAAGCATTTCAGGGTTGCCCCTGTACGTAGTTACAGGAGAAGGACAAAAATGAATATGACACAGGTATATAAAAACAAAATCAAAACAAGAAAAAGAACAAAGGATTTACTTGTATGTAACAGATTAATGCACTAAGCTGGTGCTATACCTTTATACTTATGCTTTATTCATTACATTTCCTGATATTCAAGTATAGCAATGATGTTATGAAATAAGCAATACTGTGCGCTTATTAAGTTGTAAAGCAATTATTATTTGGATCCTGCGGTGCATAAAACACAACACCAAAAATAAGATGAAGCAAAGGTTTGTTGTCATACATGAGGGGGGGAAAACAAATGTTCCCAGAACGCAACACATTCACATATTTATTAAACTGTGTACAATCAGGAACACTGTCCTCTGTTGATTGCTAGATTGTGAGGCTGTTCAAATAAATAGAAAAGCAAATATCACAGAATAACAAACAAAAATGCACCTTTAGTGAAAAACCAAGGCGGATGTAACAGTAAATAAGAACATTTACATTTTCACGAGCGTCCAGTTTAAAGACGAAATACATCAACTTGCACACAAACACGTGATCTGATTTGCCCTTCCCTCCATGAGTATTAAAACAGTGAGGCCGATTCCTTTATACTTGCAGTTTCAAAATATTTGAGTTGGATGCCAAAAGACTTAAAGTTTATGATAAAACAAAAAACAAAACAAAACAATATACTGCAGGTCTCAGCAGTGGGAAAGAATGCTTTCTTACCGTGCAGTACTTTGGTAGATTTTTCAGGTACCCATACTTGTGTATCTTATACTTTTAAATGCAGGTGTATATTTGAGTAGGTTTATATGTTGACTTCTTTCTTTTTCTTTTCGGGATACACTCCATGAATGACCTATTAATGTATGAATATGAATACACAAAAGAACGAGGGGTAGAACTAGATTAAGTTTTCTTCTCCTTTGAACATAAAAAGTGTGTGAAATGATGACCGTTTGTTTTTCTTTTCTTTTAAATCTTGTACTTCCTATTAAAATATTTGGTGTTATCCGTTTAAATGTTCAATAAACAAACACAAAGATTGAAATTTTAGGGATGTGTACAGCAGGAAAGATAAACTCAACAAAACATGGACTGTAGCAACATGGAGGAAGGAAAATATTTGCATTACCAACAATGACAGCAAAATATTCTCCAATCATGGACTTACATAAGAGCACAGTTGAGGTGTATTTTTTCAGTTATCATTACAGAACTAATATTTTTTTGTTTGTCTTTTACGGCATTTTAAAGCTACGGAGTGGGAACTTGTCATATGGCATAAGTCAACAAATGCTAGCTTTTTTTTTTCATCTCTTGTGAAAGCGCTATATAAATCAGCATGTATTGTATTGTATCTCAGTATGAGCACAGTGTGAGGGTCTGCGCAGAGGTATTTTTTTTGCGCCCAAAACATACTCTTTAAAATTGAAAAGTCAAAAATTACAGTAAAGACACTTTACAGTCTACTTTATGGAAGGACTAAAGTTCGGAGACAGAAAGGACCTGCTCAAGATGTCAGAAAAGGGGTGAGCTGGTGTCAGGCTCACTAACACTCCTGAACAGCAGCAAAATGAACTCAGAAGTCTAGAGAAACATTGTGTCTGCAAATTTCAATGAAGACACGACCAAACCGATTGAAAGATCTTTCATCATGCAAAAAAATAAAAAATAAACAAAAACACACTACTACTATAGCAAAGGAGTTGGTCTGGGGGCGAAAAGTGTATGTTTTCGACTTGCCTTGTTTTGTTTTGCTTTTTTTTTCTCAAATAATGTTGTGTATCAGATGCAGATGTAACTATCTGGTAATTGTCTGATATTTATTGTTTGCCCTAAACAATTTCAGTCAATCGCAAAAATAAAGGAAGTGGCTTTACTGTTCCTCTTTCTGTGTGTGTGTGTGTGTATATGTATATATATATTCGTGAAAACTGAAAAAAAAACATACCTGGTGCTAGACCTCCTAAAAAGTAGAGCAAATAAAAGAGGTCGTGTGTGCCTCAAGGCTACAAGTAGATAAAACGGACATCATGAGATTCAAAATGCAGGGGTTTTCATTCGATTGAAAAACGAGCAGCACAGTTTCAGTGTCACCCTACTGCCTGTGGATCTCATCAATTGGGTTTCTAGGCAAAGCTTGGTGAGGACAATGCACAACACACAAGGATGCTTGTGGTAGACACAAATCTCACAGAAAAGAGATCAGGCTTTGGAGAGTGAATAAAAAAATGTATGCAACTAGGAATATGTAAAAGATAAATCTATGAGCCTTTAGCCCCCCCCCCAAAAAAAAACACTTAGTGTCATGCTGTTAAATGCTCAAACATTTCATTTAATATTTGCATACTGATTGCTTTTTCACAGAGTAAGATGTGATGGTGATTTTCATTGTTGCACAATTCCAAGGCTGTGTCCGAATGTCCACTCTTTTTTCCTAAACCCTCATTCACAATTTAGTCCCGCATGACTTATTAGTTCCCTCATTCTGTTTGGCGATTCGGACAGCCACCTAAGTACTTGCTTCTCGTCGCAAATTACATGACGCACCGGCAGATGAAGATCTCTATTTATTGTGAATAATTAAAAAAAAAAAAACATGAACCTGTATTTTATTTCCTTTGTTGCACATATTTTTACAATTCAATGAACAAATGAGTTCTGAGGTGTAGTAACTGTATCGCTTTGATATTTGCGCTTGGGGCATGTTTTCCTGCTCGCAATGCATCGCGGCCTACATTAACCTGTTGAGTGAACATCGATGCACACACTACTTTTCCCAAGTGCAGTGCGGTTAATTTGGAGTGCTCTACATTTATCCTCCTTGGATCTTCAGACACCCATACATACATAATTTATTGATATATATATATATATATATATTCTTTTTTTCCTCCTCTCATATCGTTTCTCTGTGCCTTGCCATGTCTTTTTTTTTAATATCAGGATCATTAGGGTATGTGTGCAAGTTTTGCATGTTTGTGTGCTGCATGTGAGTGTGTGTGCGTGAGCATAGGTTTGCTTGTGGGGATAGACAGTATATTTGTATTTGTTGAGGGGAGGAGGGGGGGGTGCTCTTTTTATGTCGTAAGTTTGAAATGTTTTACCTGTACAGCACATTGAATTGCATTTTTATGTATGAAAAGTGCTATATAAATAAAGTTTGATTGATTGATACGGAACCTCTTAATAGTGTATTTTGTAGGGAAAAGTGTACACATTTGGACACAGCTCAAGACAATACAATGAGCATAAAGGACACAGTGGAAAATTGTACGCCCTAGTTTTCACATGATTAGATTTCACAATTTTTTAGCTTGATTTTTCATACATTCGCATGTTTTTTGTATTTTAAAAAAAGTGACTTGACCATTTATTTCCTGGAATTGAGATGCGTTCATCGGAAACCTTTCCTATGTTACGTGTGCGCAGTTCAACACATTGCAAGGTATACTCCACGATGCAAGTGTTTATTAACAATTCAAAGAAATAATACTCTTGCTCTGCAACACTCAGGTAATATTTGCATGTTTGTGTGCTGCATGTGAGTGTGTGTGCGTGAGCATAGGTTTGCTTGTGGGGATAGACAGTATATTTGTATTTGTTGAGGGGAGGAGGGGGGGGTGCTCTTTTTATGTCGTAAGTTTGAAATGTTTTACCTGTACAGCACATTGAATTGCATTTTTATGTATGAAAAGTGCTATATAAATAAAGTTTGATTGATTGATACGGAACCTCTTAATAGTGTATTTTGTAGGGAAAAGTGTACACATTTGGACACAGCTCAAGACAATACAATGAGCATAAAGGACACAGTGGAAAATTGTACGCCCTAGTTTTCACATGATTAGATTTCACAATTTTTTAGCTTGATTTTTCATACATTCGCATGTTTTTTGTATTTTAAAAAAAGTGACTTGACCATTTATTTCCTGGAATTGAGATGCGTTCATCAGAAACCTTTTCTATGTTGCGTGTGCGCAGTTCAACACATGGCAAGGTATACTCCACGATGCAAGTGTTTATTAACAATTCAAAGCAATAATACTCTTGCTCTGCAACACTCAGGGAATATTGTCACATCTTGTTAAAAGTCAGACCCACAAGATAAAAGCCAACAGTATTATGACACTTTCACCACATTTTCTTGGGTCTCATGATGTCTCTATTACATTCACACAACTCCCGAACCCTTTTTACACCACATGCCTAAAATTTTTTGTGTGCCAGACATTTGAAAAAGATGAAAAACACTATGAAATTCAAGAGACAACAATTCAACAAATGACTTCTCTCCACCCTTCTGGTGGTTTTTAGAGGATCAAAATTCTTCAATGAAGTTTTAATTCTCCAATTCGTTTGTGATTTATATTGATTTCACATCATTTCCATTTGTATAGTTATCCTATATGGAATATCAATCAATCCATCCATCCATTATCTGATCTGCTTTATCCTCACAAGGGTCGCAGGGGGTACTGGAGCCTATCCCAGCTGTCTTTGGACATTAGGCAGGGGACACCCTGAACAGCTTGCCAGCCAATTGCAGGGCACACAGAGACAAACAACCATCCACGCTCACACTCACACCTAAGGACAATTTTGAGTGGTCAATCAGCCTGCCATGCATTTTTTTGGAATGTGGGAGGAAACCGGAGTACCCAGAGAAAACCCACGCAGGCCCGGGGAGAACATGCAAACTCCACACAGGAAGGCCATAGCTGGAATCGAACCTGGTACCTCTGCACTGTGAGGTCAACGCGCTAACCACTCGACCACTGATGTTAATATTTTGGGTGTCTGGAACTGATTAATTAAATTTACATTACTTCCAATGGGAGATACCGCTTTGGATTTTGCTCAGTTGCGTTTCGGTCAGACTTTGTAGAATGGATTAAGCACAAAAACCTGGGTTGTACTCTGTCTCATTTTTAAACAAGATCCATCCATTAAAATTCTTAAGTGTGTTTTCTCACTCTTGAACCCATTTATGTATTTTGGGAGTATGATTTGAAATGGGGGTGCGCCGCCGGCATGAAATTAACACTTAAAAAAAAAAAGAAAATGGATCAAGATGATGTGTATCAGTTGTTATTTAAGTCACAATTGGACAACTGGGAACCAATATTCTCAACACTTTCCCTACGCAGATGATGTTGTATTATTGGTTCCACTCAGCAGCGTTGCCTCTTGATGGTTCACTGTAGCTTTTGCCACTATTGGCCAATCAAGTAGTGTTGTGTACTCGCCGGTGCAGTTGTGGTGCATTTGTGCACAGATAAATGTGCAGTAGTGAGATCCCATTGGAAGCTTCGAGCTGCCTGCAAGTTTTCTCTCTCGCGCTCTCCTCCATTTGCTGCACCTCGTGGATGCCCTAACCTAAACAAAATACAGTAAATAAAGACATAATTCTATCCAGAGTGGAATCCCAGTAGCCCACTTGTGATCCACTGCTGAGAGACCAGGATGAAACTCATCTTCGTTTTGACTTTTCATGTTATCACGCAGGCTCCAGAGCAATGAGATACACACTTTGTTGTCATCATTTTCCAATGCCGGTTCAGCAATCCACAATTAATCCAATGAACCGTACAGTCTGGAAGCCAACGGTTCACTTGGTCTTGGGCACAACAAGTATCTCATCACCATCTTGGATATTGTAGGAGTGAAGAGCTCGCGTGTTGTACTTGAGCTCATCCGGGCCAAAAGCGCTGCTCTTGTTGATATAATACAGCCTCATGCTGCTGGTGGACAGCTGCACCACTGACGTCAGCTGCTTCTTCAGCTCGGCCACCGTCTGGTCTAAACGGATGTTGAGCTGGAAAAATACACATTGTGCATGCATTTTAGACATTAAACTGGATGTCTCAACTTAACTGTATACGAAAGTGCTGTACAGGGAGCAAAAATAAATCACACAAGAAACAACAAAAAAAGAATAAATGGAAAAAAAAACTGGATTTAACAACAGCACCAATTTGCCAGTCCAATTTAAAATCACTGTCCAGTGTAAGACCCAAATTTGAAACAGGGGGCCCAAATCAGCAGGATGGGATATACAAGGGTAACTGGTACCCCTTTTCCATCCCCAAAAAATTGGTGTTCGTTCAGCGCCAGTGCTAAGAAGTTCTTACGAAGAACATGTTTGGTTTTCCACCGGCAAAAAGCCAAGTCGGAACGACATCATTACATCATCGTAAAGCATCCAAACGTCACAGTTTGTCGACGATTAGACAATGGCGCCGATGGTCATCCCGCTACAGCTGCGATCGTCATGATAACCC